GAGGCGGGCTAATGACGTCACTTCAGCGGTCCCTGATGGAGAAGACCTGGTCACCTTCGGTCCTCAGCCTCGATTGTGGAATGGTGAGCAGTGCTTTGGCTGATTGATGACCTCAGGTTACGACCGGGCATGTAAGTAGATCAGATATTTACTTTGGTGCTAGTCCAGAGCGTGCTTTATAAGTGAACAAAAAACCCTTAAAATCAATTCTAAAATGTACTGGGAGCTAATGAAGGGAGGCTAAAACAGGAGTGATGTGGTCTCTCTTTTTAGTTTTGGTGAGGAGTCGGGCTGCTGCGTTCTGGACCAGCTGTAACTTGTGTAGACTCTGTTGATATAGACATGTGTACTGAGAGTTACAGTAATCTAAACGAGAGGAAATAAAAGCATGTATTACTGTCTCTAAGTTGTTCTACATGAAACTGAACCAGCGTTGTAGAGTCACTTCTATCCTAATAAACTTTAGAAGTCAAAGCAGAATTGTACAGGTATTTTTACTCTCTTCATTATTTGCATCCATGTTTGCTGATATTCTTCCTCTGCCTCCTCAAACTACATTTCTCTGTGTTTTACTGCCACCAACAGTCCATCAGTGGAATAGCATGAAGTCTGTGAAATAAGTGTGTATATACCACCGTGCCCCCTGCAGACTCACATACACACAGCTTAAACACAACAAGGTCACACATGTTCAGTCAAAAAAAAGAAAAGAAAACAAGAAGCTCCATTGTGCTACTAGTGGTCAAACTCTCCACAGAGGATTGTTGGGGGAGAGGTGCTTGTTTATTTTTTCTTCTTAAGCTTCTCTATGTTGGGCCACGCAGGCTTAAGACAGGCAAACAATGGACTTGGGCCTGCATCTCTGTGAGAAGCCTCATTTGAGTTATTCACTGAGATCACAAAAAGACCTAAAGGACTGACTCTCTCAGTACAATCAGTTCAATAAAGTGATTCGTTCACCGAATCGTTCAGTACTTCTCTGCAGCTCTGTCTGTGAATCAGAATTTTATATATATAAAATACATATAATTGTACAGAAACAAAGCTGCCAATAAACTTTAAACTGTACACATTATGTGACTGAATATAATTTTATTTTCTGCCAGTGTTTGATATGGACAACCACTGTGCTATGTGCTCGACCTCAAAGCCCCCAGGATCAGGGCCTGAAATGAATACTCAAATGTTAATTTTTACAGTGTTTAATAAAAGTTTATACAGTGACAATAAGAGGGTTATGAGAGGATTCTAGATTTAAGTTTAGTCAGTAAGAGGACAAAGGATTTCCAAACTGGTTATGGTTTTCCACCTTGAAACAGGGTTATTGACTCTTCAGAATCAGAATAAAAACACAAGATCTCCTGCTGACAGCTTAACAAGAATAAGATAGAAATATAAAAAGCAATAAAAAATATATAATAGAATATAAAACACAAAATGTGCAATGGAGGAGTTGTGCAGATGTGCATGATTTGCAGTCTAAAACAGAGTGCAATGTAAACAGAAAATACAGAAGTCCAGTGAGCGTTAATGTAACGCATCAAATCAGTTTCAGCCTTCACATTACTGTCGTGTACTGAGCTCAACTGTACTTTTGACACAAACAGGCAGCAATTCTATACAGTGATGTTCCTAAATCAAAATTTGGTCGCATAGGCTGAATGTGCGACATTTTACACATACTGTAAATATAGCAGAAATCCATTATATCCTCTGTCATAGGCGTAATTTATAGGGGGGGGGGGGGGTTGCAACCCACCCAATAATCCAAACCAGCCACCACAACCCACCCAATATGATATCATAATTATTGATAATAAATATCAATGAATGAAGGTGAAAGTAGCAGCAAAAGCAAGGGAAGACAGAGGGATCAGAGAGAGAGAGAAGGCACAGGTGACCATGTAATAAGGTCAAAGAGTTCAAATGTTGTTGTTAAGCAGCTAAAAACATAGTTTTAGTTATCCATAGGTGTGATCGTGTGATTTTCCTCACAGAGAGAGACAGGCTGAGAGCAGCATTCCAGTCTATGGAGAGGTTCAGATGAGCAGGTAAAAATGGTCATGCAGGGCATGTCCTCAGACCTGCTTCACAGGCGGAAATCCCCCCCCCCCCTCCCAATGTTCAACTCAGTTACGTCCTTGTCCTCTGTAAATATCGCTGTGAGTCATGACTGTCTAAAACAGTGGCTCGCGGGCCGCAGGTTTGTTTTTAAAATATAGATGACAAAATAGTAAGGCTTTGTAGATCAGAATCAAAAGGCTCGCTAAAGAAACCCTTTAATAAAAGGAAATCAAATATTTAGATTTCTTCGTTCTACTTTATTTGTTTTTTTCTCAGAATCCAGTCTGTAACGTGGTTCATATTTTTGGAAAAGCTTTCTTCATTTAGCTCAGGTCATTAAATGGTTAAACAACAGTCTGCTTGTTTGCAAAAACTTTGTACATGTTTTTTGTTCATAGATTACCAAAAATGTGGAAAATAGTAAAAGCTGTAGATTTTTAAAAAACAACAACAACATGTTACCGAACATTTTCTATTTTAGGAATATTGTTCAGCCCTTGTTAACATGAAAAAAGAAAAATAAGATAATGTGCCGATCTTAATCAAGGCCTCGGCCAAAATCTTCTGATTCTTCATTTGAAGTCAGGGGCCGCAAAAAATCCCTCAAGCGCCGCAAATGGCCCTCGGCCGCACTTTGGACACCCTGGTCTAAAAGGAGTGCCAATGTAACGGTTGTGTTTCTCTGCTGGAGTATGGAGGGTTTGTGTCTGTCTCATTTGTTTATACCACGAGGAAGCAGCTAACTGGTAAGCTAAGAGATATGTTGGTCGCAGCACTAAAACACACACACCTTCAGCTCAGGAGAGATTCCTTTGCTCAGGTGCGATGAGCCCCATTCATCACTTTTGCCAGGAAAAGGAGATTAATAACGGACTCGTTCTCTCTGCCTGCTCGCTCTGGAGTCGGAGCATTTACCAGACGTGGGAAATTCAGATTTAGGAGCGGCTCACTTCACCAGGTAAACTCGAGGAGCGGCTGGCTTGACCGCAGTTGCAGAGCCGAAGTGAAGTGTAAGGAAAAGACGGTTCAAACCATCCGTGCCTTCTTTAACCCGGCTTCAGAGGAATACCTAGAGTGTTGCTTCATGCAGTTCACGGACACATGGCTGAATGACCTCACTCGTAGATGCTGCGTGATTGGAGGGGCAGTGTTAGACAGGTTTATACCTGTAAACTGCCAGATCACTTCAGCTTGTCACTCATTTCACAGAATGGGGCCCCTCGTGCTTCTCTTCTTTTCTCTGCTGCATTTATGTGCTACACAAGGTAAGAACTTTATTTTTTGTATGTTTCCTGTTGTTGGTGTGGTATGGGGTGGGGTGTGGTGTGATGTGGTGGTGTGGTGTGTGGTGTGGTGGTGTGATGTGGTGGTGTGGGGTGGTGTGTGGTGGGGTGGTGTGTAGTGTGGTGGTGTGATGTGGTGGGGTGGGGTGTGGTGTGATGTGTGATGTGGTGTGGTGTGATGTGGTGGTGGGGTGGGGTGTGATGTGGTGATGTGGTGGGGTGGGGTGTGGTGTGATGTGTGATGTGGTGATGTGGTGGTGTGGTGGGGTGGGGTGTGGTGTGATGTGGTGGTGGGGTGGGGTGTGGTGTGATGTGGTGTGTTGTGGTGGTGGGTGATTGGTGGTGGTGTGTGTGGTGGTGTGGTGGGTGGGGTGTGGTGTGTGGGGTGGGGTGTGGTGTGGTGTGTGTGTATGTGGTGATGTGGTGTGGTGTGATGTGGTGGTGTGGTGGTGTGGTGTGGTGTGTGGTGTGGTGGTGTGGTGTGGTGTGGTGTGATGTGGTGGTGTGATGTGGTGTTGACTCTGTGAAACAGGTGTGGTTAAAACATTCATTCCTGTTTTAGGTTTGTATTTTTAACCTTCAGTCAGGTGATCATTCTCTGTGTTTGTCAAGAACTTTAAGATACAAGTAAACAAGTGATACATTGTTAACATGGAAATATTGATTTAAGTTGTTTTTTAATCATACACATGATTTTTATTTCTCTTCTCTCTGCAGTGACTCCTGTGTTTGTGCAGACAGGAACAGATTTACTTCTGGATGTGAAGAAACCTGTTGTTCTGAAGGAGGCAGATTTCTTTACATGGAATGTCAATGGCAGTGTAATGTTGTGAGACTAGTCATGGTGGTAAACCAACATTTCCCAAATTATACATCTAGAGCAGAATTTCTGCACAAAATCACTCTCTACTGTTAAAGAACGTACAAAAGAGGACAGTGGAGTTTACAGAGCAGTGTTTCTGACATAGACATCACTGTAGCTGAATACAGCGTCACAGTTCTGGGTACGTTTCTTTAATTTGAAAATGTTGATACAGAGTCGTTCCCTGTTTTAAAAAAAGTCATCACACTTGCTTTGCTTCTGCAGATCCAGTGTCTGGAGTGAAGCTGACAGTGAAACTCTGCAGCTCAGACTCCACTAAGGTCACAGTGATCTGCAGCACTGAGGACTCTCTCATCAACAGCACGTTCACATGTGACAACCAAACCTGCTCTCACGAGGGAGGAGAGCGAGCAGAGATCATCACACCTGGTGCTTCTCTGGACGTCTACCTGGAGAACGGCTCAGTCATCTGTAACCATAGCAACCAGGTCAGCTCTACCAGGGACATCCAAAAGATTGAAGATCTTTGTAAAGGTAAGAGTTAAAAACTACAATTTAACGCTTATAAACAGTGTGGATTGTAGCCTAAATAAAAAACAACAGATGTTTTTGTTGTTGTTGATGAAACAATGATATAAATCTTCTCCATTGTGTTTCAGCTGTTGGTAGGAGATCATTTTGTTCATAAATTCTGAAGAAATAATTTCAGCAGAAACATTGTCATGATTTAAGACTAATCAGTGATAGTTTGTTAATCAATTAGCTTTAAAAAAAATAAGTCAAAATAGTATCTTTTATTTTTTATAACATTTAAACAACACACACAAAATATAAACGTACACATGACAGACCATTAACAAAAACCACAAGAAGAAAACAAAGACCAAACCAGTCATCATGTTCATCATTCTTCTAAACATGGCCTTAGTGCGATCCATCTCATTTCAGTCATTCATTGTTCCCTCTCTGTTTGTGATTACGCCCTCTAAACTATAAAATGAAACCAAGCAGAGATTATTTGACATATAAATGGACTAGCATTAATTGTTTAAAAGCTAAAAACTGTCAATGAAATTGATTTTATGAGATTCAGATGTGTTATTAATCCCTGATGGTCAATTCAGTCTCACAGCCTTTAGAGTCTTATTAAAAGAAGTCAAGACAAAGTAAAGAGTTACATTTACATGCCAGTAACAACAGGTCACCAAAGGAGATAACAATCTATTTAAAGAAACACAATGTCAGAAATGTCTAAGGTGATCCTTAAAACCAGGAGGTGACTATCCTTCCATGTAGTTTTAAATTGTGACTTTAGGGCACCATCCATTCAGGGTTGATTAGACCAATTTCATATTTTACTACAGATCAGGTCTGTGAGATTGAGTGGTTATAGTTCACTCTCAGGTATGCTGCAAGAGTTCAGCCAAGTATGAATTTCTAATCTGGCTTTCTTTTTTCTTTACAGCATCGAAAGGCAACTCAAATAATGTTACACTGATTGTTGTAGCCATCGTCTTATCTCTTGTTGTTGTTTTGGCTGTAATTGGAGGATTTATTTATCATCGAAGGAGAAAACAAAGTAAGTTAAGTTTGCATTTAAACTGAATTTAAATGTGAAATCAGAAAATCCTTATTGTTTACATCAAACTGAATTGACCCTTTAGATGAGTACATTCTTCTCCCCTGTGTTGATGTTTTTATTATCATTCAAAAGACGTCCCTTATGAGTGAATCCTCTTATCAGGGCGATCTGATAAAGACAGCGCAGCAGTTACACTTAGAAGCCACACCTTAGAGTTAGAATAAATAAACAATTTACAATGTTAACAAAATAAATCACATGTAAAGAACTTTTAAAGGATGGCAATTCAAAACTGTTTATCATTTACAAACTATTAAACTGAGGCCCCATTATAAAATGTTTATGCATTTTGATTGCATTCATTACTATTAATAAATTAACAGAATACATTTTTCAATGTAGAAAAGTGACTCTCAAAATCACACCAAATAAATCCAGAACAGAATCAGCTCCAGTAATGTTAATGTAGTTTCAACATGTTTCTTTATGACTGATCTGCAGATAAAGCAGAGAACATGGAAAATACCGTCTATGAAGATCCTCAGGTAAGGAGGAATATTTTTTAATACCAATTTCCCAAATTAGTCAGAAGTGAAGAAATTCTTAAACAAATTAATGATTGAGAACTGATGTGAAGAGACAGGCCAGAGACATTACTGTTTTCAAATTCCTCACTAGCTCTTGTTTTTTGAAACTTGTTTTCCCCTCATTTTTTGCAACTTCACAAAAGTGGCGTCTTTGCAAAAACAACAAATGCAGGTTCTGCAAGGTGCTGTGGGCTCAAAAGTCTGTGTACTATTATTGAGATCAGGCCAGTGTTGAAAATAAAGCCCATGTGGAAGTGCCCAAAACTGCAGCTCCTGAGGGCTGACAAATACCCATTTCCACCCCATATTAAAATGTCCGTTTGTACTAAGTGCTGACAGGCTGGTATAAAGAAAACCATAGCTCATTTCTAGATCCATGACGACTTCTTCCCAACAGTTGTAAATGTATTAAACCTTTGAAGTTATGGGGTGTTGTGGTTCTGTGTTGCAGGTCGAACCTAATAGCTTTCTGCTCGACATCAAACCAGCAAATTCAGTCACAGAACTTAAAGGGATACTTCACCCGTTGAAACATGAATCTGTATTGACATTGGGTCATATATGTTGTAGAAATGTGAAATACATTTTGAAGTTGGTGCCTTCTTGGCCGGCAGAAAGGCAGAAAGTGACTTTTTGGCTCATGTGGATGAAAGACACCAAATCCCAGAATGCACAGCACCGCAGGCCACTCCCACTAAGGTCCTCTAGTTCAGAATCAGAAATGATTCATTAATCCCAGAGGGAAATTCGATCATTACAGTTTCTCCAACATATAAAATATAGCAGTAGAAATAAGTAATAAAACATTTACAGACATATTTACTTCAACACATAAGACCATTTCCTCAACTGATTCAGAGATTTCTTCCAGAATTGATCTTGGAAATTCCTGACAGAAAACAGACTCTATGTCTGTGTCCATAGGCAAACAGTGAGAGCACCGACACTACCAGTCCACCCCAACTCGAGCCGGCCCGGGGTCCTCGTCCTCACCGCCGCCGACAGGCAGGCCTTATGTCTCGGCTGCTGAGCTGGCAGCGGCCAGCGGTCTTGTGTCGCGGCGGCCCCAGCGCCTAGCGGTTAGCAGCCGTCTCGCCGCTATATTTGTATTTTCTCGCCATTATCAGCTTTCTCCATAGAGCCTGTTAGCATAGCTTCCAATCAATAAGTTTCGATTCTGGGAGTGAGTTCCCACCCACTGATCTGTGATTGGTCTGTAGCTTCAGTGGTCGAAAATATGAGGAACTAGCGTTGTAGTTTCACACCGCTAGCAGCTTCCAGTGACACAAAAATCGTCATTTTGCGTCACTGGAAGCTCCTTTTCAGACTCAGAAATACAAAGATTTCCCATCTCAGGGGAAAATGAGGGCGGGATGCACGGGCCATTCAAAAACACTACCAGGTTTCTAATGATACAAAGATTAATGCAAATGGGTGAAGTATCCCTTTAATGACCTGACTGTAACTGAGTCTTTGTGGGATGTTTTCTCAGTCACAAATCGGACAAATAATGTAGCAGTAGCTTTCTGTGATAAATTGTACTAACATGCTTTTCAAGAAGTCTGGACTGAAGCAACAGTTTTTATCTTCTCACTTAATATGAAGGATTATATGTCTGTTAAGGAGTTCATTGGCTGTTATTTATTTCAGTGCTAATACATTATAATAGCCCAATTTGAAAATCACATATCAAATAGCAAAATAACCATTCTTATGTTGTGTGTTAAAGTGAATACAGACCTCCCTCTGCAGCAGAGACCAACAAATGATGCCCCAGCTGGTCCTCCACCCTACATCTACTCCTCGTTGGGGCCTCCCATCGGCTCTGAAGCACCCACTCAGCCCAGAGACAACGCTCAGCCAGAGAGCCTGTATGCAGAGGTGTAAAAACTTCCAAAGTCCTGAAACAGTTCACTATGATGTCTTCAACACACTTCTCTTGCAGGAATGACCGCTTCAGTTTAGTTTAGTTTAGTATCAGTGAAGGACTTCTGACTGCGTCTTCTTTTTCTGTGCGTTGGTCGTGGACTAGCTACTTGAGTCATGAAGTTAAAAGACCCAACTACAGTCAGATTGCTGATTTTATTATGAATTATAACAACAATCACCTTCTGACTGGAATCATTTGCCAGATAACCTGTGAACAATTAACTTTTCTTTTAAAAAATGAAATCGCCCTTCCACTGCTTCCAACCCTAATGTCTTCCTGCTCCCTTAATAAGGAGGCTTCTGATTGTACAGTAATCTTTGTAATTACCATCATTAGTGTCAATACTTACAATGTTATTAGTTAATATGTGATGTGAAATCTCGTGGCTGTTTACATTGTGTGGGCGGAGTGGCAATACAGGATTAATGCCCTGGTGGGTTGATGTATGAGTGTGTTTGTATGTGTTGTTGAATGTCTCTGTGTCACTTGTAATGTTGTGTATTCATATGTTGTATGATTCAATACATTTTACATTTCAATCTGCTGATGAATAATACCATTTGGTCTTCAGACCGAAACAAGAACTGTTTTGTTGCAGACATTTGAGCCTCTCACCTGCAACATCATAAATTATATGTTTATAGAGATCATTTATGTCACATGCTATATGGAGACACCTTTGCTGTTAACAATCAGTTGACTCATACAATAGAACTGTTTTGATGTAGATATTTTATTTTTTTAAATTACTTTACTGTATATATTTCAAATGCTACGTTCTATTTTTTTTACATAGTTTTATTGCTAATTTCTGTTTTGGCTAATATTTGATCATCTTGATGCTTCTTATCAAATGTTTCTTTTAACCTTAATGTGAATAAAGCCTTTTTAATTTAAAGCTACAGTGAGGATCTTCTGGTTTGTGTCAACCTTATAGCACCTTGTAGATAAAAGAAAAGAAAAGAAATCTCATCCAGCTTTTTTTTTAAAGCAAATGTATCACTCAACATGAACCTTTATCATGCAGAATGTAAAAAAGGTAAGTTTGGCCTGACACCTCCTCCATAGTGACTTGTCCATGATGATCTCCTCAGCTTGTGTAGCTCATAAAGAGGCTTCAGTATTAATCTCAGTCTGTTACATAACCAGTTAATAACTCCTCACAGGAGCTTTAACAGACATTTAAAGAATGAGTGAATAAGTTTACTGCTTCACACTGAACTTCATGTCAGCGAAAAGAAACAATAAAGTGAATTAACACCAAACACATCAAACTCTCTCACCTATTAGCCATTATCCATCCAATATATCGATGAGTACAATATATTTATAATGCTTTTGTTATTACTGAGGGTCCAGAAAGGAGGCTTCACATCATATTATAGAGTAAGAGTTTATTACTGAGGGTCCAATATGATGCTTGGACAAATACTGTGAAATATAATGGATTAATATTTTATAATTATCATTAATAATATTATAAATAGGACAAATGACATTACAAATACTGCATTTTATGTTTTTCTACAGACAACATCCTCAAAAACCTTTTAACATCAACTCTGAGCAATGAATTTATTTACAAGAGGCCAATAAACAATTTAATAAACAATTTAATTCAAGAAATAAAATCATTTTGCCCTGTGATTAACTGGGAACAGTCCAGGGTTTACCCCGCCTCTCAGCCAATGACAGCGGGGATCGGCTCCAGCCCCCCTGCCCGCGACCCCGAATAATGGATGGAGGGAAATGATAGCATTGTGTGATGGATGAACTGTGTGTATAGTAAAGAAACAATGTGATTGCTTTATATTTACATACATTTTATTGATATAAAAAAGGTATTTATAATATGTCGTATGAAGCTTTACAAAAGTGCTGAGTCACTTCTATCCTAATAAACTTTATAAGTCAAAGCAGAATTGTACAGGTATTTTTACTCTCTTCATTATTTGCATCCATGTTTGCTGATATTCTTCCTCTGCCTCCTCAAACTTCATTTCTCTTTGTTTTACTGCCACCAACAGTCCATCAGTGGAATAGCATGAAGTCTGTGAAATAAGTGTGTATATACCACCGTGCCCCCTGCAGACTCACATACACACAGCTTAAACACAACAAGGTCACACATGTTCAGTCAAAAAAAGATAACAAGTCGCTTCATTGTGCTACTAGTGGTCAAACTCTCCACAGAGGATTGTTGGGGGAGAGGTGGTTGTTTATCTTTTCTTCTTAAGCTTCTCTACGACGTGAACACTGATGACGGCACACATCATGATGACCAGACCGATCGAGACCACGTATATCTTCAGCCTGTAGATAGAGAAACCAACCCCAGATATCTCTGGACCAAAAAAAAAACATTGTTTCATTAGAAAAGTGACGCAAACCGATCTTTAACAAGAATGTGATTCAACAACAGGACAGGGTGCAGCAAGTCAGTTGTTCCTCTTTTTGCATACTGGCAGCATTTAGCTTTACATTCAAGAAAGAACTCGTCAGTTTGTGATGATCAATGTTGGTCTGGTTTTAAAGGGGATATATTATGAAAAATCCACTTCTTCAGTGTTTTTGAACATTTATTTGGGTAACCTGAGTGTCTACCGACCCACAAAATGTAAAATAAACCCATCCAGTCCTTTGTTTGTGGTCTGCATAAGTCTTACAACACAGAGAGAAATGCTCTGTTTCACATTTGCTCTCCTTGTGACATCACAGTGGGATTCTGGTAAAAACCACCAAAACGGAGCGTTCTGAGAGAGCTGGTTTATACAGGGTCACAAACCTCCTCTGGTGCTTGATTCATGTTATATTTTAATCAAAGCACAGCACAGATGTTTCATTTAGACCACTGAGGGACTGTTTGAAAAGAGGGAAAAGGGGGATAACATGTCCTCTTTAATGGCCATTTTAGTGTCAAATCAAATAATCACATTCAAGTGTCAGCCTGAGCTCAGTATTTAATGATGATGATGGTGAAAAGAAAAAAGGAAGTTCTTCATGTTTGCCTCTCTCTATGACGACCAAACTAAACCAGATCAACAATGAACATAGGATTTTACCAGCCACAGTTTAACAGAACATGAGTCGACAATAAGAGAGGAGGAGATTTGTTAGAAACTTCAGGACAGGATTAGATGCATCGCTTCATCTACGGAGGACGCAGAAAGAGTTCTGTCCAATGTTTTGGATTTGGACTGCAGTACCGGTTTTAAACACTAGGTGTCAGAGTTACACCATTAAAGTCATAGTGCAGAATAAATGTCAGTGATCTTTTCAACTTTAAAAAGAAAATGTATGATCTTGCCTATTTAACAGTCATAGTTAAGCCATAGTTAATTGATATAGCAAATCAATATTTTTTTTCTGGAACATTCAATGATTTCTGTTTATTAAGAAATATCATGGACTGAGATAACTCTGCATTACAAATTGGGCCATGAAAATGTCAACATTGGTTGGTCTTTAATCGTGACCTTATTTCTGTCTCCTAAGCAATTCTTTCTTGCAATATTAATAATATATTTTATTATTATTTTATTAAAAAATCTAGAGAAAAAATCATATTGTTTCATCAAAGAAATTTGATCTGTTGTTTTTTTATTTAGGCTACAATCCACACTGGTTATTAGCATCAAATTGTAGTTATTAACTCTTACCGTCAGGCTTTCTACAAAATCTTCAATCTTTTGGATGTCCTGTAGAGCTGACCTGGTTGCTATGGTTACAGATGACTGAGCCGTTCTCCAGGTAGACGTCCAGAGAAGCACCAGGTGTGATGATCTCTGCTCGCTCTCCTCCCTCGTGAGAGCAGGTTTGTGTGTCACATGTGAACGTGCTGCTGATGAGAGAGTCCTCAGTGCTGCAGATCACTGTGACTTAGTGGAGTCTGAGCTGCAGAGTTTCACTGTCAGCTTCACTCCAGACACTGGATCTGCAGAAGCAAAGCAAGTGTGATGACTTTTTTTAAAACAGGGAACGACTCTGTATCAACATTTTCAAATTAAAGAAACGTACCCAGAACTGTGACGCTGTATTCAGCTACAGTGATGTCTTTGTCACAGAAACACTTGCTCTGTAAACTCCACTGTCCCCTTTTGTACGTTCTTTAACAGTAGAGAGTGATTTTGTGCAGACAATTCTGCTCTCGATGTATAATTTGAGGAAATGGTTGGTTTACCACCATGAACTAGTCTCACAACATTAGCTCTGCCAACAGTCCACATAAATAAATCTCCCTTCAGAACAACAGGTTTCTTCACTTCCAGAAGTAAATCTGTTCCTGTCTGCACAAACACAGGAGTCACTGCAGAGAGAAGAGAAATAAAAATCATGTGTATGATTAAAAACACTTGAATCAATATTTCCATGTTAACAATGTTTCACTTGTTTACTTGTATTTTAAAGTTCTTGACAAACACAGAAAATGATCACCTGACTGAAGGTTAAAAACACAAACCTAAAACAGGAATGAGTCTTGGACTTACATTCACATTAATACATTTATATATCATATATTTTATTATTAATTATATATAATTAATGACCAGGTCATCACTAATTGCATTGATTGATTGAAGTCTCTATTTGAACATGTACTTTCTTTTTTATTGTCAAAAAAACAAAACAAATAAACCTATAAAAGAATCGTGCGTAAGAAAACAAAAAATCTAGTTACATGTTTGAAAAGGAGCGGGAAGAATACTTATTATTGTTGCTTTGTTAGGGACTGTCTCTTTGCATTTATCCCTCTAACACTTTATATTTTAATTGATCTAATTCTCTGTTGTGTTTTTTACACTGTTCTCTTGCTCTAATTTTGGAGCCATCTACTATATATCCTATAAATAAAGTTTCTTATCTTATCTCGTCTCGTCTCACACCTGTGTAAGAACTCAAAGCTGTGAAAACAAATACATTATTGTCTCGTCTCGTCTTATGGATATCTTATCTTGTGCTCAGTGATAAAATTAGGCATTTTTTTCCTCTTATTTCAGAGAACCAGGTTCTTTTTAAAACATTGAAGCTTCATCAGCGTGCTTTCAGAGTGAAACTGTTTTAAGTCTCAAACTTTTATAAATATATACAAAGACACTGAAACATTTACTGTAATAAAGGTTTTCCACTTTGTCATTCCTTCATGCAAATTCTTTAAAATCTGTCCCTCTTTCTTAATATGTCATCACTTAGATTACATTTATTACAGATACAAACACACAAACTGATAAAATCATGTATCGCAAGTGAAGCTCATATTTATTTGTAATCATGAATTCAAACCTGAGGTCACTTCATGTTGATCTGTAAATTAGACGGAGCAGAGAAGTCTTTTTCAAGTGGCCGGGAAAACAGTTAGCTTACATCTTTTTATAATATACTACATTGTTTGCATCACTCTTGCAGTATTATGTTTACCGAACATAAAAACTTCAAAAATAAATCTAAGTTGTCTTAAATTAAATAAAATAGTGAAACTGTTTTCTTTGAAAAGACTCATTCCTGTTCTCTAATAAAAAGTGAGATTATACCCTCAACTAGTGAAATGTTAAATATTGAATATTGAGTACTGAATAATTGACAGGGTCTGTTTATTTTGTTGCAACATAACCCCTGTGCTCCGTTCTCTCCACTGGCTTCCTGTTCGCTACAGGATTTTATTTTACTTCTGGCTTTTAAATCATTAAATGGCTCAACACCTCATAACCTAAGTGAACTACTACATGTTCATGCTCCATCCAGAGCACTAAGGTCCTCCAACC